GCTGTTTGTAATGGATCGATTACATAAGAATACTGAAAATTGACACCCACATATTTCAAGTTGGAGGGAATTAAATATACATTATGATAACCTGACTTACATATCATATCTGAAATAGTGAATACATCACTGTAGAGAAATAAATCCATGATAATTGTCTAGATTAAAATGACTTTTAATACAAATTATTATACAGTTACATATAGATAAATCAGAAGATGATTATACGAACACTCTGGGAATATAAAATAACTGAATAACTAATACAGGTATGTAGATTATTTACAAATTCACAAAGTACAATACGATGTCTCGTACATATATTACGAATATTTGAACAGTTTGCTTGAATTGTCAGGTAACAAAGTCTCAGAACAAATAATGTTTTATATTGAATCTAAATGATAGAAAGAATGAGAATCGGGAACTAAATAATTGTATCATATCAGTAAATATTAAAGAATAAAAAAATGACCGAAGCAGTTTTACACTGTCATTAATCATATTCTAAATATGTCTACTGGGTTTGAATTGTCAGATAACAAATTGTTTTAGTGAAGTATGATAAGTTCTTGTTATAACTTGTGGCCTGTGTGCTCTGTTAATGTGTAACGTAACGATACCGCCAATTAGAGAGCAGTGACTTATCGATCGGACCAGTGACGCATAAAACATGTACGAGCAGTCTAGAGTCCCTATCGGTCCTGCTTCCTGCCTAGCCCAACCAGTTAAGTCCAGAACACCAATCTCAGCCTCTGCGATATAAATAATCTATTTCAAATATACTAGGTTTATATACCAACCAGACAGACTACATCGTACCATAAGATGGAAAATAATATTTGTACAAAAACTAGCTAAATGTGGCTGTGAATATAGGAGGTAGTGATTAATGGACAGGGCATAATTCAATAACGGTAAATCGTATAATAATAGTTCATATGTTAAAATAAAGCTCATAATAAGAGAGACACAAATATGAATAGTTTAGATACTTAACAATTATACGATAAAAAAAATACGCACATTATTGGTCCATAAATGGATCCCAAAAGTTACCATTCTTTATGCTTATCGAGACATAACAGTTCTAGTTTACCGTTTCGTCACATCTTTAGGTGATCACCTCAATATCCAAGTCCTACTTGAAATTTCACATCGTCGAGTAAAGAGCATTTTGTAACATAAACATAATTATAAGTACGGACACGCCTCACCATTTTTTTTCTTGGAACAGATGCTTCGGTACATTCATTTATATTTAGAGAAAGAAATGATTAAGAGTAACATGGAAAGAGGACGTATTAATTATAATTCGTTAATTAACTGTTACAGAAACGATGGTATAAAATGATAAATTTTGTCATGAACATTACTAAACATTACACTCATAGTCTATGTTTATTTGCATCTACTGGTGAAATTCCCAAGATGTTATTATTACATCCTCAATTTTCAACAACCCATAACTTATTTCTCAAAAATTCTTCGGATCATTATTAAATGACCTTTTAATAACCCTGATTCGAAGAACAGTGAAAGGAAAGTTTAAATTAAGTTCATTCTCTATCCTTCCATGAAAATGTGTTCTTACATTATATGAGTCTTTGAATTTAAAGATCAAAATAATGATATATATAGAATTGTACACAATTGAATAACGGTTCAGTGATCTAGAGGCTTAATGTTTTCAAGAGACCAAAAACTCTAAGTAAGGATCTTGGTTTCTGAATAGTAGAGACACATTAATAACCAATCCAATATTAAGATGAAATTGATCATCTAATAATTTCAATGATTGTTTATTTTAGATCAACTCACGTTCTCAACAGTATTACATAATTACTTATATTGTACATTTAATTTTCCTAATAACTATAATATTAACAATACAATTTATAATAAGACTATAAATTTACTATTATTTCAGTCGCTTTATTTTTTCATAGTTTCATCTACAATCTAAGTGATAGACTACTTATTTATCCTTCTTTTTTTTGGCTGAACTAATTGCTGACGTAGAAAAAAATCATTATAGATAAGATCATTTACTGACTTTTACTAGACCATTAGTTTAGATATATATTAGATAATATCTATTTCCAAATAATAAATGTGTACAAAGTTATCAAAACTGATGTGATTAATGAAATAGATAATATTAATGACGAAAATAGATTAGAATAAAAGTAAATAAGAAAATATAGAATCCTTTCAGCAGTGATAACTATTCACTTATTCTTTCCTAGTTCGATTTCATCGTATTATCTTTGCTCTCTAATTAGTGGTTATTATTGTTTTTAGTTAACTAACTTTCTACTTCGTTGAAGGTTCTTTTATGATATTATAGTAGCAATAGATATACTGTAGTGAACAGAACACCAGTGAGGACAATCGAATGTATTTAACAACAAATTACAGAACTAGTTAGTAAAATCTAACAACCATCTATAAGATGCTCAATTTACAAAATGTTCATCAATTGTCTCAAATGACTCAGAATTCCTTTGTTCTTGCGTTTTCATACAAATTGCATTCTGTCTTCATTCTTTATTGTTCGATCTTTTCGTCTCTCTGCTACCTGACATTCTGTTCACGACTCACGTCATATACTACTTATGCCTACATAAGTAGCACACACCACAATACTAGTTCGTTTTGTGTTTCTAGTTCTAGCTTGAAAATCAAATCCCTTGCGATTCACTTTCTTCCTGTGTTAACCGTCGGGGTTCTGTTGTATTGTGTGGGAATGACCGTTGCCGATTTGAAAAACAACAGATGGTATTAGAGCGGATCAATCATTTTTAATCCGAAATTCGTAAATATCATAGGCACATAGTGAACTCTAATAGTAAGATACAATAACAATACGTGTTGTTTAATCATGATAATATAGTTTAAAAGTATAAATAGATATTTTCGTCCATGTGCATACTGTGTATACAATATCGTTTTCTTTCAGTTCCCCATAAAGTATTAATATAAATAATAATAACAGTAGTAGTAGTAGTAGTAGTAGTAGTAGTAGTAGTAGTAGTAGTAGTAGTAGTAGTAGTTGTTGTTGTTGTTGTTGTTGTTGTTGTTGTTGTTGTTGTAGAAATGCTATTGACAATCATCACTTCGAAGAAAATCCAAGATAAATGCACCTGTGTCATTTAGCTCATATTAAGGTATATCACTGAATGCTTTTAGCCACTTATATTTTATCTTACCCAGGGTTTACCAACTCCTAATCATTTTCTGACTTCAACTTGTAGTTTTTAGCTTACCACATTGTGATAAATCGTGTCTCTTTGCCACTCATCAATACTATAAGTGGAAACTACTCGAAACTGTTATGAAGTTTAATTCAGCTATAGTCTAACCTAGAGCATGAAGATTGAAGAGAAGCTCGAAAATAATTTGCCCTATAGAATTATGACCTGAAAATCAATTTGCGTCTTATCTCTTGTAATACTGTTTAAAATAACTAATATTATGATATACATTTAATCTTTAGAAAGGACTACTTTCCTTAAATAACTAACGGATATACATTACAATGAAACTATCCTTAGTATATTTTAAATGAAGTAATTTCAATGTCTCCCCAAGTATTACTTTTACTCATCTTCAGATAGATAATCATTACAATAATAAGTATAATTTAAATAGCTCACCTTTGGTTCAATCAGGTTGTGATTCATATCCTGGTGTTACCAACATAGTCTAAATATGTAGATTTGACACATATTTAGCGTAGCGAACATTCCGAAGCCAAAGATACTAGTACACTCTCCAGAACTGCCAATAAAAACGCCAAATAAACTCGGAAACTCATGGACTAACTAACAGATTAAGGGAATCCACTTTATCGGAATAATGTATTGAATAGTTCCACATATTTAGATTTATTTTGGATACTACTTGTAAGATTTCAGTAGAATAATTGTTATACAAAATTATTTTTCAAGAAGTATGGGAAGACTATATGTGATTTTCTCTAAAAATACAAAATAAATAAATTAAAGCAGTGTGTTTATTGACGATAACACGGATTTCTCTCCCACTTTTCCGTCAGCCTCATCCATCTCCATATTTGACATCAATTTCTTTACTGTGTATACTTTACATCTTAAAGTGATTAAAATATAGTCTAGAAAATCAATAACAAAATGATTCAATGCATCAATAATAATAATATAAACATGATACTCGCTGAATAAGCTAGTGGCTGTGTGAACTAAATGACTCAGTGAACAATGTATTAGGTTTTTAAGGTGAATATCAACTAGGATGAAACTCATATACTGGTTTATATTGTTATACACAACCCATATATTCTATAAAGCTTGTGAATTAGTAATTATATCGAGACAATTAATGCAGGATGCATATGTGCCAAAAAAGACTGATTAAAATTCCACTAAGGTTATCGACGACAATATAATCCAGACCCTTACTAATAATGATGTTGTGGGGCCAGTGAAACGACACTGAGCCCCACACATACAAACCCTCAGGCTGAACTATTTCGATGTTAGACAACAGATCGCTGATCATTTAACAGTAAATCAAAAATTTTCAGGGTCAGTAACCATTAAAATGGATTAAACAATTGCACCTCATGGAATGACCCATGCGGTGGTCGTCGCATTCTGTTTCTCCAGACCATTCTTGATGGTACATTTATTCAATAGCGTCATGTCTGTTCTATACGGTCATCAAAGTAGCTGCAGTACCGAATAATCCACGTTAAGTAGTAACTGCTAGGTATGACTTCGACATAAGCTGGGTCACCTTATTCCCATTCAACTCTAATAGACCTTAACCATCGACATAGATTACCTACATTGGTGATGTACAATATTTTATCTGTACTTGACTCAATAATGAATGCCTGAGTTAAAAATAATACTAAATCATTCTATTTTCATAACGTTGTCGTGCTCAATACTGTGCATTATGATAGTGAATGTAAAATTAAGGCTTAACTTTAATGTTGATGCTAATAAGAAACTAGTTATTTAGGGAACAATAAGTCTGCTTCACATTATCCTCATTCACTTAACTTTGACTCTTTTGCGTATTGTTTTATACTACTTATTAATATTCAGTAAATTGTTGTATTCTTAACAATTTCTACACATAAATTGTACTGAAAGTTCATCATGTAATATTCTGAAATATTTACGTATACTTATAACATTTATTGTATTTATCATTATAATTACTTTATCTCAATCACCGTAGCAGTTATCCACAATTTCGTGCATTTATTTAGACGAAACGGTTTCTATATTTAAAGCATTCAGTCTCTTTTATAAATTTCGATAGGACAATGAGAAGACGGAGTTGATCTGAAAAATGTGATGCATTTGCGCTATACATTTCGAACAATCTGGTCAGACGAAACCCGCGTCAAACTGGATTCCACTGCTATTCACTATCCATCTTTGCCTGAAAAGCTTGTGACTTAAGACCATACTGAGGCAGTTCGCACAATATGCACATATATCAACAATAGACTGATCATTCACAGTCCTAATTAACACTGGGAAGATACAAGTAAAACTACACCAAGTGAATGAGTAAACATGGTTTAATATCCAGTTTAGTGTTTTCTTCATTTTTTCATGCAAAAACTGCATAGTTTAGTTTGAATGGACGGGTAAATTACTAGAAAATACATCACTCTAATAATCTAAACAATGTTGTGATGCTTAAACCTTTACAGTAGGAAAACAAATTTATATTTTAAAGTAGTAAGTGTTACGTAACAATCTCAGTTATTTCATACGGTACAGACAGTGTCTGATAGGATATTTAACTTAACTAAATCAAAAAGAAATTCCTTAATAATCGATAATGTTGACGATAATATGAAAAGTTTCATAGAAAAATTAAATTGTTGAGTTTAGCTTTTGAAGTACAATAACACTGAAAATCAACTACACTTTCACTATTGTTATACTTTTCTTACTTGCCTACTTACCTACTTATTTACTTGCTTACACCCGTGATCATATGGTAGTAATTAAATTATACTGACTTGATTCTATCAGTAGGGCTAAGAGACCCAATACTCAAGAATACTTTATTTGACTGGCATTTGGTATTAAAAAATATAAAACTATTAGGTACATCTTACTGAACGTATTGATATTGTCTATGTTAACCTATTATTATAAAGTAATGAACCTATAAAGCAGTAAAATTCACTTGGTGTTGTTTTACTTGTATCTTCCCAGTGTTAATTAGGACTGTGAATGATCAGTCTATTGTTGATATATGTGCATATTGTGCGAACTGCCTCAGTATGGTCTTAAGTCACAAGCTTTACAGGCAAAGATGGATAGTGAATATCAGTGGAATCCAGTCTTATACGCGTTTCGTCCTATTTGGGACTCGTCAGCTGGACGCACCTGCATCTCAGAGTTGATGTTCACTCCATGACTCGAACCCAGTACCGTTCGCTTTAAACATCATTGTGTTATCCACTTAGCTACTGAGTCATGATAGTTCTGAAAGCTTGTGACTTATGGCTATATCAAGGCAATCCACACAGGATGCACATATGCCAACATGAGACTGATTAATTGCAGTCCTAAATAACAATGGGAAGATACAAATAAACAACATCAAATGAATTTAAAACTTCACTCCACTGCATAAGAAAGTGAGTGGATAACGCGATGGCGTTTGAAGCGGACGGTATTGAGTTCGAATCCCAAAGTGAACATCAACTGTGAGATGCAAGTACATCCAGCTGACGTGTCCCAAATAGGACGAAATGCGCGTCCTGGGTTCCACTTCTAGCCACTATCCATCTTTCCTATAGAGTAGTAGTCCTTTAATCAATAAAAAAGCTAATATTTGAATGATGAAGATGTAAATATTTCAAAAATATAGAAGATAGAATGAATATTTCTAAGTGTTTTCAATTTGTTATAAAACTTTGTTATATACTTCATTTTTATTTGAATTACTATTCTATATTACTAATACTCCTATCCTTTCATAACTAATCCTATTGCATCATTTTCATTTAATTCAGTTTCAATATTTAATCAGGTGGATTAAATGAACCATGAACAAGTTAGATTCATTTTTCCACTTCTTGTAAATTACATAATTGTTCAATACTGAAATGGAAAAATTTGTTGTTGTCGTTGTTTTTTTTATGGAAAAGAGGGAGAACAAAAAAAAACAAGAAAAAGAAACACATTTAGATTAAATAATTTTTACCGACAGTATTATCTAAAACTACCTCCATTTGTTATTTGCTTAGTTGTTTATACATACTCATTATACTTTATGTTTTATTTAATATATTAAGCGGAAAATTCAATTAGTTAAGTGTCCACTTGTGATTGATTAATGAATATATATGAATAACCTCACCTGTAAATACAAATTGAATACAACGGTATCTTTCTTTATAGGCTTTAACTAATCAACTTCATATGTATAAGTTTATTACTAAAATATAAGTAATAATTCAATAATCTATTATTCAATCAAATTTAGTTTTAAGATTAATTTAGAATGATATTTTAAAATTATTATAGTAATACTAGTCTAGTCTGGTAAATACTTCTTTTCTAAATTGAACAAATTAATGAAAGTATATTATTTGGAAATATCTAAGTTTATTTTATGTTAATGGTCTTTATTAAAATCTATAGAAGTAATCTGATATATGTATATGTATGTATATGAAACTGGTTTGTATCAATGATGATTATTGTAAATTTCAAGACTAATTGGGAATAGTTTATTTCATTGCATACATAAAGTCAATATAACTTATTCTTAATTTGACATGGAACTGAAACTGAAATCTATGTTATATGATGAATAGGTTAGTTGATAATCTACTGTAAAAAAAAAAAAAAAAAAAAAAAAAAAAAAAAAAAAAAAAGAGTGAATAAAAAGCATCTACAAATGTGATCAGCTGACGATGTCATGTTAAGTATTCTCAACTCTACATGGAATCGGAACTGAGATCTATGTTATGCGATGAATAGGTTAGTTTGTAATCTACTATAAAAGAAGGAGAAAAGAATGAATGAAAAGCACTTTCAAATATGATCAGCTAACAATATCATGGTCAAGCATTATGTATATTATTTTT